CTAAATATGTACAAAAGCTCCTCGTGTGACCGGCAGCACATGCGCTCTACACAAACTGCTAATGAAGTATTAATTATGTATGTGGCTATAGTCGATACAGAGAAACAGGCAGCGGCTTTATTACTGGTAAAACCGCAGTACAAACTATTCACTGTTGGGAAGATTCGACCTAAATTTTCACCAGAAAGACACAAACAAAAGTAATATTATCTTGAGTTCTGGATCACAGATGTAAACAAATGTACAGTAGTTTACCTCTGGCAAAGTAGTTATGTTATTTTAATATGTTTCTGGTAATAATTGGTACATTTTTTAAAGTATTTTTTGTTGCTTACTAAGACAAAGATTTATTTTTGATGCATTACAATTAAAGTGGTATTTTTTATATAATTACAATAACTGTAATTGATAATAATGAGAGTAATAATTAAATGATCACAGTACAGAACCTTTGCTCTGGATTAACATGAACACTTACAGGTACAGATCACACTTCTCTCACAGCTGATCTCAGGGCTCACGTGCGCTAAACTCACGCCCTCACCACTAAAAGCGGCAGTCACAGCAGTTTACGAATACGAGGCGCTAATTAGTATGATGAGCATCCCATCTGACATCTCTTTGTGCGGCCTTCACAAATTCCTCCCCACCCAGACAACACACGAAACACAACGAAGCCTGTTACGGTAATTACTACACCGACGTAACGTTCGGTATGTGAAAACTGGAATCTGTTTTTATCGTGTTTACATTTTCTTCGCACTGCTGGGAAATTTTTGGTTATTTTTTGGTTACGTGATCAGATTTAAGACGTAAAATGGGAATGAATTAATAACGTATATGGGTCCGGTCAAGCAGTAACGGAGGGAAACAGGGGCAGATTTTTTACATTCAAATATCTCTTATTCAGAAACTAGAGGGACTATTGAAATAAGTAAAGTATCAGAATGTAGGAAAGAGTTAACACTCCAACAGGGTAAAGTTAAACCTGTGATATTCTTTCAAGTTGTTGACAAAAAATTTTAAAACTCATGTCGTTAACGGAGGGAATGAAATATGCAGCACTTTTTGGGCAATAAATCCAAACAGTGATAACTAGCGGTTCTCACTTACATATCCTTAACAAACTGGTTTGAATATTTGCTTCATATAGTTTTCTACCATATGGTACAAGATTAGGTTGAAAAACCTCTTACTTTTTGAGTAATGAGATTTTTTATTAAGAAAGGTCATGGTAACGGAGGGAAAATTGTGCAAACAAGTAGAAGGTGCAGGATTTTGCATAATTTGTCGCTTTTTTCTTCCCAATACTTTAATATTACTTCAAAATGAAAGGAAACTATTTCTATAAAATATGTCAGTCCTTCCAAGTAAATTTTTATCATTTTAAATACATTTTTTTTTTTTAAATCATGTACCTTCATCAACAGTTCAAAGATGGAATAACACAAGATATGATGAAATACATCCATTTATTTACATGATTTGCAGGTCTTTGAAATTTGGGAAATAATTTTTGTTCCATGTTTCATACATGGTCTGTTTAAAACGTCTGTAACTTTAGAAGCAAAAATGGTACAGAAAAAAGGTAAACAGTTTCATAAACTAGAGTACATATGTATCTGTTGAATACATTTTTATATCAGATGAATTAACTTGAATTTTTGGCCTTGCTGTTTACTTCTGCTTGACCGGGCCCATATGACTTCACAGATGCAAATGAAGTACTAAAGTGTTCATATTGTAGATTTTGGATAGTTTTTGTGGTTTAAATCTAGGGCTGGGTATCATTCAGAAGTTGCCGATACGATACATATCTCTATACTTTTGAGTCGATATGATATATTTCAAATCGATTCAATACTGTTCAATTAATAATTAAGGCTAAATCATGGCTGTGATGCTAAAAGTCTTTGGTAAACCACTTCTTGTGCAAAGCGAATATGAAACAGAAACATTTCAATCATCAAAACAGTGAAAATGTCAAATGTGTCGCAGTTTCCGTCGTCTGAAACAACAAAACTGTAGCGCGGAAACAAAATAATCAACTAAAATATACCAAAAAATACTCTTGGCGATATATTGATACAGCAGACCATGATATCGAGACTGTATCATCACATTAAACGATACGATATGTTGATATTTTTGAACACCTCTATTTGAATCTGGTCTTGGGTTTTTGTGTCACTGCTTAATTTAGTTTAAATATTATCGTTTATCATCTATATTTTCTATCTTTTCCTTTAAAATCTGTTATTGTGACAGGCCTACATGAATATAGGGACAATAATCGTACAGATAATTCACATTCTCTTGCAAAAAAATCCATGTAAGGATATGTATGTAACAATAACCGAAATATTGTGACATCGTATCGTCAAAGTTCTCACAATAATATCGTGGACCATCACAATATATCGAATTACAAGTCTCTTTGCTTAAATTAAGAGTTATGGTGCAGCAATAACAAAAAAAAAAGACAGGGAACTACATAGACCATGATCCTTTGCTCCGTTTCAGTGTAGACTACAAGAAGAAATAACAGTTCTAAGCACTTTTAAGTCTTAGTTCTTTGGATTAAGTCTTTTCAAAGCATTTTAAGAAGAATAAGTCGCATATTCACAGTTTTAGCTCCACAAAATATCGCAATAAATATCGTACAGTGTGATGTATATCGTGAAAATATCGTACAGAGAGATTTGGATATTGTTACAGTCCATATCGTGAGCTTTCCCACGATATCGTAAAAAATATCATACCGTGACAATATCGTATCGTGAGACTTGGATATCGTTACACCTCTAAGAAAATAAAGATTACAATCGATAATACTGCCACTGACACAGATTTAAACCACAAAAACTATTCTAAATCGATACTACTGTGAAAAAAACAAGAGCTGCAATGAATAAACAACAGAATCAAGCACTTTAGTTTTGAGTTTGTATCTGTAATGAGTCACAGAAGTCACAAATTCAAACTTTTACAGCTCAAATCTTATCAACTTTGGCAAAAAACAACAAAAATTCCCCAGTAGTGCGAAGAGATAAACACTGACCTCAAAATACATTGTGCTGGCTTTCAAATACCAAACGATAAATCAATACAGTAATTATCGTGACGGCTTTAACTGCTACTTTAAATGATTAAAGTCTCTATTTGATTACCCTGCACTGAGAAACGTCAACAGATCTCACTCAGGTCGCCATGTGCGCTTGTGTGGGGTTGTTGATTTGAATGGGAAATACAATCACGTGAAATGGGAGGAAGGAAGTCCCATGGTCATACTGGCTCGGCTTCAAAAGCGTCATGTGAAAACTTGTATTGTTCTATTTTGATTAAACACGTAATTAAATCATTGTCAGATCAGCTGTACATGTTTTTTGTTTTTGTTTTATTTGTTGAGTACTTAGTTTGGTTTAACCTTGTACAACCCATTTACACATGAGCCATACTGTAATACTAGAGTTGTTATTTGATATACTAGTAAACACCGAAACTAGTATTGATTCTAGATACATATTTGAATAAGTATCACTACTGAGTAAGAAAAATATACTTGGAGAAGTCTTATAGACGTTTTAGAACAGTCTAGGCCAGAAAAAAACATTATTTTGAGTTGTATTGTCCAAAAAAAGTGTATTTTTTTCTCCTGATTGTGGTATCAAAATTGGTATCGAGTATTTTCCATCGTGCTGAAATCAAGTTTTAAGTTTAAGCATAAAATGTTTTAACTAAATCTCTATTAATCAGTCAAAACTTGATTTCAACACGATGGAAACACCAAATTTGATACCACAATAAGGTGAAAAAAATACACTTTTTTAGTGTAAATAGTAGATTACAGTAGTTGGGCTGGAGCATATCTAGGAATATTTAAATTTAAGCATCAAATTTTGTACTAAATCCCTACTAATTAGTGAAATATTCCTAGATATGTTCCAGTCAAACTAGTGTAATCAAGTATTTACACTAAAAAACAGTATTTTTTTCTCCTTATTGTGGTATCAAAATTGGTATCGAGCATTTTCTATCATGTTGAAATCAAGTTTTAAGTTTAAGCATAATTTTTTTGTACTATATCTCTATTAATCAGTCAAATATTCCTAGATATGCTACAGTCAGACTAGTGTAATCTTGTATTTACATAAAAAAGTGTATTTTTGTCTCCTTATTGTGGTATCAGAATTGGTATCGAGCATTTTCCTTTGTGTCGAAATCAAGTTTTAAGTTTTAGCATCAAATTTTTGAACTAAATCTCTATTCATCAGTCAAATATTCCTAGATATGCTCCAGCCAAACTAGTGTAATCTAGTATTTATTTGTTAGACTTGATGCATTTGTATATAGTCAAATGTGTTATTTGCAAAGATCCATTTAAGTAAGAAATACAACCATTATTAGGCTATAACATTGTAAAAACACCAAAACTGAATGATAAATTAACAAAGGTCTTAATGTAAACACTGTCAAAACCAATGTATTATGTGTTATCATATTACTCAGTGGGTTTCGTAGTAGGATCTAACACAAAACAAGTGTATTATTACGATTTATTTGACACTGAGCATTGATTTCGCGTTCTGTTGCCAGTACATCTAATAAAACGTGGAATAAAAAAGGGTTTCCCGGCGTATAAACCTAAAAGCGTCTCACAAATGGCGCTAAGGCTGCAGTGTTGGTGCTAAATGTAATTTCGGTGTCATGTTTGGGTCTTTCTCTCCATCTGCGAGCGCGCGGAGGCAGCGTGGCTCGCGGAAAGTGGGTTAGGCGGTCACGGATCTGGGCTAAACTACAGCTTCCGTGCTAACTCCACAGACGGCTAGTAGCTCTTTTTTCCCCTAGCAGCCCACACGCAGCCCCCCCAAACAATGACCACTAGCTGTTAGCTTCCGATGGCGCCACTCGGTCTTCACCTGCGCGTTTAAAGCTGAAAACGCGTGGAAATCAGCGGCTTAAAACGCGGTGTGGTGGCCGGGTAGGGGGGGGAGGCTTACCGAGCTGGCCCTCGCAGATCGTGAGCACAATTTGATCCATGAGGAGATATCGGAACTCCACGTCTTCGTCCGCGCACCGCTCCTTCAGTGCGCGCAGGATCTGAACTTGTGGATACTCCTGGGCGATGCGCCGGTCTGTCACGAACCAAATCCTGGAGCACATCTTTTTTTATTTTTATTTCAGGCGATTCTCTGCGGCGATTTGGAAGTGAATTCGAGTAAAAAAAACCGAAAAGGGCGTGAGTTAAGAGCCGAGTGGCGACGATGCGGTGATGGGGGAAGAAGTGGCCGACACACAATGGAGAGCTTCGCGGCAAAGCGGTGCGCGCAGGCTGCGGGAAAAACAGGACCGGTGTCGAGCCCTAAGGTGATGAAGCTTCAATATCACCTCAGCTTTCCTTCATTTGTAGCCATCTATTCCGCTCGGACCGCAGCACTTCGAGCTCACGGAGAGGGGGGGAAACAAAAACACAAAAAATATATAGCGCTGGTGGGTCCGTGCAGCCGCCGGGGCCAACAAAGCGGAGATCCTGCCGCGTCTTCCTCCGCTGCTCTTCAAACTCCTCCTTAAGTTCTCTCGTCTTCTCTGCGGCGAAACTCAGCGACGATCCGCGCGCAACAACAACAACAAACTAAAGCTTCGAGCGGGTGCCCACCTCCGTTTGGCTGCTGTCCACGCGGTACTGGTGCTGAAAAGTGCACACCGCTTTTGTAGGCTGCCCCCACACGCACGCGCTCCGTTTACAACTCCAAAAAAAAACGTGTAACGGAAAGGCTCGCGCGTATGGACCAATCCTCGGCGCTCGCGGAGGGGGTCGCGGGCCAATCGTCGCGCGGAGCTGTCGCCGGCGCGGTCACGCTTCACGCGCGCTGTTCAGTGGTCTCGCGCCGTGAGGGGGGGGTGGGCTGTGGCCATGGCAACGTATCAGATCCTCGTAACGGGAGGAGAGGGTGGGACATGCGGGTCGTGTGGGGGGTGGGCACGGCCAATGGAGAGGCACATTACAGCCTGACCGGACTCATGCACGCGGCTTTCTACAACAAACAACCAGAAACACTTTAAAAACTCAAGAGTCACAAATAAAAACAGATTAAATTCAATATTATGACAATGAGCACCGTGCGGGGAGTCAAAACGGAAAAAATAAAAACAAATTCACCACTTTCCGCAATTTTTAAACGAATAAATAGTTACATATTCAACACAGGCGTCGAAATTTGCCCCAAAACACCATTACGATCTTAAGTTTGTGGTTTTATTTTGCTTTTTACCGTTTTCCTTTAGCTTTCTTCTGCGAACCGGCTCACGCATGCGCAAACCCCTATTTCGACTCAAATCTGGTAGGTCTCGCCGGATTGCTGATTGACAGCTGTGAAAACCAATAAAAACGCGCCAAAGGGAAGAGTGGGCGGGGCCAGGCTCGTTTCGTCCAATGGGAGAGCGCGTGGAGGATGAGGGGGACGGGTCCGCGGGGGCGCCTGGGGTTGTGTGGGAGAATCCGCGCGTGCCGTCTGCTGCATGTTGTGCACGAGTCCGCGCACTTTTCCCGAACCGGTTCAGACCAGACAGCGCGAGGTTTGGCAATGGCAAACTGCGCACCAACAGCACGGTCTGTCTTTGTATCAAACGAGCAGAAAATGACACGGAGGTTGTTGTAAAAACCAATAAAATCCCGCTGTTTTTAGTAGTTTACGCGCATCTTTATTGCACTGGATCGTCTGCGTACGCGCCACTGCAGCACACAATAGATTAAAAGAAGAAAAAAAAACAGCATCATGTGATATTGTCACAGTGACCTACTTCTTCCCATCCCTCATTCTGAACTAAACGGAAGACACCCTTGATGTGACATTTACCACACACCACAGCTCTTTGTGCGGAGCTGATCTTTCACACCTTCTGTAGTGCAAGATGCTAACGAGTTATTACAATTGCAACCGCACGTATAAATGCAAAAGAAGGCCTATTATGATGCTAGTAACGCTGATGGTGCAGGGTGTCGTTCAGTCTAGTCAAAAAGGGATTCAGCTCGTTTAACATGCTTAAAAAAATAACAAATAAAGCTGCAGATTAAACAGACAACTGCACAAATATTCATGCTTCTCATATATGTACCAAATAAATACGTGTGTAATTGTATATAACTGTTATCTGCTGTCTTAAACCTTCTCCAAACACTTCAGTCTGTTTCCTTAGTGTATTATTATATGTTATTGCATCATACTCATAGGTTTTAATTGGAAAATAAATGTAATCAGATATTTGTCTCTATAAAAACAACGCACACGGGGCATTTAAACCAGAGGACACGTCAAACAAAACAAAATAAACATTGGGTAGCTGTTATGATTGGACAGAACTTAATTTGCAGAGGTGAGCCAACAACAGAGTGGATGGTGTTTCAGATGAGATGCCTTTACGTATTGTGCAGGAGCAGGGCGACATCTGGTGGTGGTTTGGCATATTACAACGAGCTGCATTTTACTGGGCTTTTCTACAAAAATATTCAAGAATATGCCCTTCTGATATTTGTTTTTCCAATTGACTATATGCATTTTAAATCCTTCAGAGAGCCAGATTTATTTCTAAAAACTTTAATATTCTATGTAGCTATGTTAATAATGTCCCAGCAGGTTGTTATTAATAATAGTAGTAGTATATATATTATCATTCTATTATTATTATTAAATTGTATGATGCCGTTCGTATTTTTTCATATTTCCGCAAGGTTTGAGTGATTTGTTTTTGTTAGTTAGTTTTGTGAGTTATATTTTCTCTGCATAAAAATAAAAAAAGTGTACGTTACTGTCTGAATGACATATCTGTATCTGTTTACACATGAATAAAAATATATGAAGCTGAATAATGTCCCAGCAGTGATATTAAACACATTTAAATATTTAGGCTGGAGTTTAAAATCACATGCAGTAGTCTATGTAACTTTATAGCCAGAAAAATAAAGGCATGTTCTTACTTGTTTATTTTATTTTTTTTATGTGTTTATTGCAGTGAAAAACTGAAAAAAAATAACCCAAATGTGACTCTTATTTTGCCTGGAGAATGTCTAGTGCAGACCTGGGCATTGTACAGCTCACGGGCAAATCTCCAGATAAGCTTATCTGGAATTACAAAATAAACATATTTTATAATTCTACCTCATGCATGGACTAAAGCTGCATAAAGCTGTAAGGCGACCTCTCTTTTTCATTGCTTAGTCATAACATAAACTCTTACCAGCTCGTCAAAACAATGCTACACTGCAAAAAACAAAATCAAGCCAAGTTCAGATCACTTGAATTAAGAAAGTTTTATCATGATTTGAGTAAATTTCACTTGAGAAATAAAATTAGCAGTAGTAAAATTTGTACTTAAAATATGAAAATACATTTTGCTACACTTAAAATAAGAAAAACAACAACTTTTTGCACTTAAATTAAGAACATTTTACTGCATTTGAGGCGAATCAACTTGACAAGTAAAATTGTCTCAAAGGAATAAGTGTTTCTCATAATTCAAGCAACATTAGATTTTGTTTCTTATTTTAAGTCATTTTAATTTAGCTAGATATTGTATTTTTTCAGTGTAATTGCTGCTTTTTATAAAGAAATACACTTAATATTAAGCATTTTGGTCCAGCCGTTCACAATATTTTCTGTTTCTCATGTGGCCTCATGGAAAAAATAATTGCCCACCCCTGGTTTAGTGGAAAGTTTCCATGGAAAAGTTGTTCCTTTGGCTGTTCTGTTGTTGTTCTAAAGTATGGTAAAATATATACAGATGTGTTCAAAATTGTTGGTACCCTCTGGTAATGACAGAAAAATCAACAATCATCACTGAAACAACTTGAAACTGATAAAAGCAATAATAAATAAAAATGTACTGAAAACTGTCCTGCATAAATCAAATGTTTTTCACCTGTGGTTCAACAGAATCATTAGAAAAAACAAAATAATGAAACTGGCCTGGACAAAAATGATGGTGCCCTTAACTTAATATTTTGTTAAACAACCTTTTGAGGCAAACTCTGCAAACAAATGATTTCTGTAACTGTCAATGAGACTTCTGCACTAGTCAACAGGTATTTTGACCCATTTCATGTGAGCAAACTGCTCTAGTTGTCTCAGGTTTGAAGGGTTTCTTCTCCAGACGCATGTTTCAGTTCATTTCACAGATGTTCAATAGAACTGAGATCTGGGCTCACAGAAGAACACTCCAGAACAGTCCAATGTCTTGTTCTTTTGAGACTTTGTTGACACCCTGAGCCAGATGCAGCAAAACAACCCCAGATAAAAACCAAGCCTCCTCCGTGCTTCACAGTAGGGACAGTTTTCTTTTCTTTGTCTGTTTCATTTCTGCATCTGTGAACATAGAGCTGGTGTGTCTTGCCAAAGAACTTCATTTTTGTCTCATTTGTCCAAAAGACATTCACCCAGAAGCTTTGTGGCTTGTCAATATGCACTGTGGCAAATTCCAGTCTCACTTTTTTATGATTTGCTCTCAGCAGTGGTGTCCGCACATGAAGTCCACTTTGGCATAAACAGTGGCGGATGGTGTGATCTGACACTGATGTACTTTGCCCTTCAAGTTCACATTAAATTTGTTTGGAGGTTGTTCTGGGCTCTTTGGGTTCCAGTCGTATGATCCGTCTCTTCAATTTGTCATCAGTTTTCCTTTTGTAGCTGCGTCCAGAGAGGTTGTCTTCAATCCTGTGAACCTTAAACTTCTGAAGAACATGTGCAACTGTAATCACAGGAACATCAAGCTGCTTGGAGATGATCTTATGGCCTTTATCTTTAACCTGCTTGTTTTTCATTTTCTTTCTAGTCTCCTGACACAGTTCTCTTCTTCTCTTTCTCTGGTCCAAGTTCAGTGTTGTGTCCATCATGTCTCCAAACAGCACAATGACACATGTCCCCCTTTAAACAGACAGACTGACTGAGGACAAGTTTGAAGAACCTGTGATGCAGATTAGAGGACACACCAAAGTTTAACATGTCCATATTATCCAGCTACTACATTTTTGTCCAGGTCAGTTTCATTAGTTTGTTTTTAAAAATTACTCTGTTGAACAACAATTCAAAAACAGTGTCTGAGTTTCATTGGTTATTTTCCATTATTTTATTTATTTTGTTATTATAATTGCTTTACTTAAGTTCAAGTTATTTTAGTGGCCATTGTTGATTTTTCTTTCATTACCAACAATTTTGAACACATCTGTATCTATTTCCATGGACCAAAATGGTTTAAACTTTCGATTTCTATGTAATAATGCAGGTCACGAGCCATGTCCAGAAAGTTAGTGACTCTGTCTTTAAGGAAACACAGAACAAAGATGAAAATGATAGTTGTTGCAAAAAGTCTCTGTCTCTGTTCCTTTATAGCCTGTCTCTGTCCCTCTGTAGTCTGTGTGTCTGTCCCTCTGTAGTCTGTGTGTCTGTCCCTCTGTAGTCTGTGTGTCTGTCCCTCTGTAGTCTGTGTGTCTGTCCCTCTGTGTAGTGTGTCTGTCCCTCTGTAGTCTGTGTCTGTCCCCTCTGTAGTCTGTGTGTCTGTCCCTCTGTAGTCTCTGTGTCTGTGTGTCTGTCCCTCTGTAGTCTGTGTGTCTGTCCCTCTGTAGTCTGTGTGTCTGTCCCTCTGTAGTCTGTGTGTCTGTCCCTCTGTAGTCTGTGTGTCTGTCCCTCTGTAGTCTGTGTGTCTGTCCCTCTGTAGTCTGTGTGTCTGTCCTCTGTGTCTGTGTGTCTGTCCCTCTGTAGTCTGTGTGTCTGTCCCTCTGTAGTCTGTGTGTCTGTCCCTCTGTAGTCTGTGTGTCTGTCCCTCTGTAGTCTGTGTGTCTGTCCCTCTGTAGTCTGTGTGTCTGTCCCTCTGTAGTCTGTGTGTCTGTCTGTCCCTCTGTAGTCTGTGTGTGTGTCTGTCTGTGTAGTCTGTGTGTCTGTCCCTCTGTAGTCTGTGTGTCTGTCCCTCTGTAGTCTGTGTGTCTGTCCCTCTGTGGTCTGTGTGTCTGTCCCTCTGTAGTCTGTGTGTCTGTGTCTGTCCCTCTGTAGTCTGTGTGTCTGTCCCTCTGTAGTCTGTGTGTCTGTCCCTCTGTAGTCTGGTGCAGTGGGTGAGCAGGAGTATCCATGAGCAGTTTGTCCAGCGTCCTCTTGTCCCTCACTGTGACAAATGTCTCCAGCTCACAGACAGTCACGTGGTCAGTTGTACCTGTATCTGTCTCTTGGTTCTGGATGGTGATGGGCTTCAGACCTTTTCTTCTTTTCAGACGCAGGTGGTTTTACATGGGACCATTACAAATATCCTGTCCTTTTCTCCAGCGCCGTGGTACATCTCACCATCATGAGACATCAGAGAACATCTGCAGGTGAATAAGCTTCAAACATTAAATTATTTTTTACTTTGTTTTAAAATGAAATCAGACTGGCTGTTTACTCGCTTTGAACTCCACTTTGTCATTTCATCATTTCTAGTAGACTATCAAATAACCTCCCTTGTGGATCAATAAAGATTGTGTAAGTCTATCTGTTGCTACTGTATGATGTGTGTTTGTGTGTGGACGTTCCAGATACAAACTGACAGGGTGGTTGTGGCAAACTGTAAGAGTGGCAGCAGGTCCCAGGAAAAACACAAGATATCTCCAGATAAGTGTGGTTCTTGTAAGAGCAGGTAGGACCCAAGTCTGAGATGAACCTGCCCACTGAGGGTCAGAGGGATTTTTAATATGGATTTCTTTCTTGTTTGATCCTGTGTCCAGCTCAGTTCACATTTATCACCATGATAAACACACTCGTTAATATCGGAACATGTAGAATTTTCCTTTAAAGTTTTTAGTTGCCTAATTAAAATAAGTAATAATTCATTTTGTCCGAAAGGGGGCACTCTTCGTACATTTTTATTCTGCCTAAGAAGCTTTTTTTCTGTATGGAAAGAATACAGCCCACTACACTCTCTGATTAGGCTATAGGCTAACTTTGTGACTTACATAAGACGTTTTAAACTCCATCTAAGGTTTGTTCGTGTCATTATTGTCTCTCCAGGTTAGGTCCTGTTGGACGATTCATCACGTCCGCGGTCACACTGCTCCTCATGCACATCTTGTACAGGACGTCAGGCCTGTACTGGGAAGTTGAGAAAACTACATGAGTAAGTTTTTGAGGACTTAATTCGCCTAAAAAGAATATAATATTATCATATTTTGAATCAGTCCATGTTTCCTTGGAGAAAGCCTGTCCTCTAATCTCCTCTTTGCCCTTCTCCTTGTGCCCAGGGCCCGGGGTCCACCTCTCTCCGGGCTCCGGGGCCCTCTGATGGACCACAGCCAGTGCCGTGCGCGCGCGCGCGGTGCATGAATCCGTCTCGTGCTCAGGCTCGTGCTCACCGGCTCACGAGCTCGCGCGGCTGTTGGAAGTAGTTCCGGTGAAGCGGCAGCAGCGTCAGCCGAGCGGCGCACACATTACGCACACACGGACCGGACAGACACCTCCGCGGTCTGTGCGTGCGGAGCCCAGCGGGGTCGAGTCTAGTCCGCCTCTCTCATGACGGAGGAGGGCTGACCAAAGCACCAGCAGCACCCGGAACAGCAGGCAGCGGGGCAGCGGCCAGAGAGGCGCCCGCGGACCGGCCACAGAAGCGGGGCACACGGACGAGGACACACCGCTGCACGGAGCTTTGTCTACGGAGGGGGAATTTTCAAGTGGCGCCTGTCTGGAGCTTCACAAGCCGGGAATAGACACACAGATCCGGGTCCACACACGGAATATCACACGGTAAGTGCATGCAAAGGAATTTAAATGGACAGCTATGGAGGTTCGTGATAATTAGTCTAATTAACCAGGAGCGAGCAGAAAGCGCAGACTTCTTTGATGTCAAGGCTAAGTTCACTGTCACAATGCATAAGGTTTAGCATCCTTTAAAACGTGCAAGTCAACTAAACAGGGCGACTTTTCATCTATTTAACACCTTACATTTTTATTTAGGCTAAAGAGGATACATTTTTGCAGCCTAAACTAGAACATTCCCAGATATTTAACATGATTTTACCAATACTATACCCCTAATTAAAATGCCATACTGTATGTAGTAATAGTAGACTATAGTTGCAGTAACAAGTCAAGCAGTGGGAGCAGTAGTTTAAGGAAAAGTATTTTGAGCATGTACTAAGATAACAGATAAGATAATACTAACATAATAAGTATATCAGGATCTTTGTTGAATACAGGGACTAAAAACATGAAGATATTGATCACTCTTATTATTTTTAAATGTACATCGGTCTCTACATGTTTTTATTTTGTCAACATAGACCTACAATACTTTTTTATTAGGATATAAGTGAGGTCACATGTTTGATTTTATTATAATTAAATCGTATTAATTTGAAGTGAACTCATCCATTATAAAATTTGTCAAAAAATTAAAGAAAGAGCTGTTTATATTGTATTTTTTTGTATGAATTACAGGATCTATGTGATTTTTGGAAAACACTCCCGCACATTTTAGTAAAACATTTTCACAGATACACTTCTACGGACTCGACTTAAAGCAGCACTGCGCAACTTTTCTGGTGGATGGTCCGTCACCTTCTCGTCTCCATGGAGATGTTATCCCTTCGCCTGGAATGTTCCCTAGTATGACATTAAACGTACACATCTAGAATTTATCCATTACGGGTGTTTCTGTTGCTCAAAAATACAATAATTCCTTCAGTGAACAGGGCGCCTCTCCACAGATCTGAACTGTAATGTAGCGTAGTGCTGTAACCTGCTTGTCTCGCTCCTGATAGATACCGTAGGTTTAGTCAATACTGCGGAACATTCTAGACAAAGCAATGACATTTCTATAAAGACAAGCCGGTGGCGAACCCTTCACTTGAAATGTTACGCAGTGCACCTTTTAGGAGTAAGTTTAATATTTTATTTTTGCCTTCTTTGGACCTGGATACCGTTATGTTCGCAAAAAATATCCTCAATAATAGCCCACAAAACTATAAATTTCAGCTACTGTTTGAGTTGTTGTTTAAAGTGTCCATGTTACGCTATTTTCTGATCGATGTTATAATGTTGTTTCCTCGTCACAAACAGACCTGGAGTTGTGTTTTGTTTTGCTTCATTCACACATGTTTAACACACAAATCCTGCATATTTAGACTGAGTTCTTCTCTCAAACACTCTGCTGCACCTTGTGACGTCATGTGGTAATAAAGCAAGTGCTCCACAGTGTTTTTAAACTCCATACACCAGTGTTTCCCAAACTTTTATTCTGGGGACCCATATTTTAAAAGTGACAAACCTTTGTGACCCAAGTCAATCGACATTACTCGTAAATCGCAAAATAAAAGTGGATTTGACCATTATTGAACATTAATGAGGATATTTTATTGTTGACTGAGTGAACAATTTGTTTTACTCAAGTTTTAAACAATGAAAAACAGTAACTGAACCAGCAATAAAAGGATCCATAAGTCGCCTATTTGGACATTAAATGCAGCTCTCTATATTGCAGACCGAATTGCACATCGTGACAAGGCGACCCAAAAAAAAAAAAACCCTCTTGCGACCCAGTCTATGGGAAACAATGCCACACACCTTCACTAGAATAATTTGGATAATTTCAGCCCTGGAATTGCCAATCTCTACTGAACTAAAGAGTAAAAATGTAGCTGTTGACTTGAAAACTCTGGCTTCATCATGACATCACAAGGTGGAACAGAGCATTCTGAGCTTTGGAGATGCAGACAGACTAATAATAAAAGATTACTCTAACATCAGTGAATAAAACAAAACACAACTCCGGGTCTGTTTTTGAGGAGGTAACATCTTTATAACATGTCTTAAAGCTCACACGAATCACTTTGCATCATGTACACGGTCATGGAAATCCTGGAAAAGTCATGGAATTTTAGTATTTCTTTCACGCAACTACAGCTTTCTGTTAAGTTATCATTAGACTGTTATGATTATTTCTGAACGTTTGCTCCTTTTGTATAAAGGAGATGACAATAAATGCACTGACAGTATTTTGATTTTGTTAAAAAACTATAATACCAAACCATAAAGTGAGTGGGCAGCCGCGGGGTCTTAAAAGTCTTAAAAAGGTCTTAAATTTCATGTTCCTAAATTAAGGCCTTAAAAAGTCTTAAATTATATTGTCCAAGTCTTATTTTATTATTTTTTTTACAAAGGTCTTACATTACATTAGCCTTTTGGTTTTTTTTTTGTATACTCAACCAGGCTGCAGTGCGATGTTAAATGGAGGGAGGAAAAAAAAACAACAACGTGAATGAACGTCTAATTTGGAGTATGTGCAAACAATACTTCGGTTTCTGGCACTGGCGGCAATGAGTAAACAATCAGTAGAGTTGAGAAAGACGTTGGATGGATCATGGGGAAGTGTCGGTTTAATCCACAGTGGCTCTTAGATTCTAGTAGTTGGTTGATCATTATTAGAATTGGATCTGGTGTTTTTCGCCTGCATAATGGGTGTGATGTTGGTCTTACTGTATTTTCCGAACTATTAGGCGCGCTCTTAAGCCTCCAACCCCATCAAAAAATGACGGCGTGCCCCGCAATCCAGAGCGCCCTATACACGAATCCACTCGGGTGTCCCAGCACGACTTCAGTAAACTACAAAGCCGCAAACACGCACGGAGCAGACCGCGACCGCGAAAAACGAAAAACACCCACACACACACACTCACCACTCCACGCCGACGAGGAACGGAACGGAGGAACGAACCGAAAAAGCGAGTGCAAAGTGCCACTTCTAGACACAACAACTGAACTGAGTCACTGCGAACACGCCGACAATCCAGCGGTCCCAGACAGCACCCTCCCTACACGCCACAACTGAACAAACCCGAGAGTCACCGTGAACGCCACAAACAAAGTCCCACTGACCCATCCAACTGTTGTGTTTCATTTGAAGTCCAGTGCAGTTTGTTTGTGAAAAAAGTTCGAAAATAGACCATTCAATGACAGTGCGTCTTAAAATCCAATGCGCCTAATAATGCAGAAAATACGGTAATTTTCATATAAGTGGTCTTAAAAAGGTCTTTAAAAAGTCTTAAATTTGGGATAGTCAAACCTGGGGATACTCTGATTTCATATTTAGCTCTGAAATTATGCTGAATTCTAGACATGTAGGTGTCGTAAAGTCATGGAAAAGTTTTGAAATGTTGTCAGTGGAAGAGAGTGGGAGCCCTGTACATTGGACCTTTTTAAATGGTCGTCATGTTCTTGTGCACTGTCCCTTGTCGTCTTATTTTCCCTGATCGCTGTAACCTCTCCAGCCCTCTCCTCTCACCTTCCAGGACCATCTCCGTCTGAAGCCATTCTCCTCGTCATTATTGGTGGGAGATTTACTTGATCTTGTAATTGTCTTTGATTGAGGCTAATTTGGCTTTTTAATTGCTCAACAGCTGCTCCGCTCCCGTGTTTGATTGCTATTGTAGGCTTCCACTCGGCGCTTTGAAACGTTACGGAGAAAGAAGAAAAGAATCAGGGGAATATCAGTGTTGAGACTTGATTTGAGTTTAAGCGTCAAAAAAGGTCCTTGTAATTAAAGTCAGTGTCAGAAAACGAAAAGAGTTTGGAATCGTGCAGCGGTGGATGAAGCACGCAGTGTTGATACTTGAAACAGATACTTTTCTCCATGGAAATGTTGTTGCTTTGTCTGGAATGTCTCACAGTACGGCATTAAACCTTTCTATCTTCATGGAGACCAAACCAGGCAAGTTACAGGTAAAATCTGTGGAGAGGCGACCCCGCTCACAGTCAGAATTCCTGTTTTTCAAGGTATTTTTGAGTCGTTTTTTTTATTTATTATTTTTTTCCCCCAAGCTGTTTTTATTGGTATATTTTTGTTTGCTCAAACTAAAACCCTCAGCATTTTCAGCAGGTCTCACACACAAAAAATACTTTTACTTTTTAGTTCTGTTCAAAAATGTAATGGAGTAGAAAGTACAGATACCTGGTCTCAGATGTAGTGAAGTAAAAGTAAAAGGTATACGCTTTAAAATCGATTTAAGTAAAGTACAGATATATATTTTTTTTTACCTGTAATTGAATAAATATAAGGTAAAGCTGTTTAATGCCATACTGTGGAACATTCCAGACCGAGCAATGACACCTCCATAGAAACAAGACCAAAAAGTTACACAGTGCACCTTTTAACCACAAAAACTATAAATGTACTGCCAAAAATATACCGCAGAATAAAACTTTTTACTTTTTTACTTATTTTACGTCTATAATGAGTAATAGAAGTTGTTATAATTCTTCATCTGCTTGTCTCCATGGAGATGTGCCAAGAATGTTCCACAGTATGGTCATGAACTTACAAATCTCTATGGACCACCTATAATTGATTAAATGTAAGGTAGAGCTGTTTAATGTCACACTGTGGAACATTTCAGGCAGAAGAATGACATACCCAAACAAACAGGAGACGCACCAAACCAAAAAGTTACACAGTGCACCTTTAAGTAAAAGTACAGATACTGAAGCACAAAAAAAATACTCATGTGAAAGTAAAAGCATCACATGGAAAAAAAAGCTACTCACATAAAAAAATAAAAGTATTAAATTGCTTGTTTTAAAATGTACGTAAAGAGTAAAAAGTAAAAGTATTTTACACAGATTTTGAATTTTGATAAAGATTTGTGCTGAATTTCGTTCAACAGAAACAAATGAATCAGTTGTTTTTTATAGTTTTTATTTGTAATTTTTTGTTTGCTCAAAAATAAATAAATAAATAAATAAATAACCCT